GAGCTTGTTAATAATAATCAAATTTGTGCTTTTTTTCCTATGCAAGAGATTGGTGTAAACACAACATGTATTTTAATGCCTTTCAACACTTGTATATGTTGTAGTTCAGTTTTATCCTTGGTTCAAATTTTATTTTCCTTTGTTTCCAACTCATTATCATACATAAACATGACTGAGAACAAAGGAAAATAAAATTTTAACCAAGTATAAAATTGAACTAAAATATATACATTTCATTTCTAAGTCCACATAACTTCTTTTTTCAAATTTGCTCCTATTCAATAGTTTAAGGATATTATTTGAGCAAAATTTTTCTGATTATCTTTTGTGAGGAAATTTGAACTGTAACTCTTTCCAACCAATCAAGCTCTAATAAAATATTATTATAACAAATTCACCTTCTTAGGTTTATAAGAATATATATACTGGTAGTTGTCATAAATATTTACAGCTGAGAGATTCTATCAAACACGAGTCTACCTTTGAAGATCACTCACTTTCACAATTGAGATCATAAGAAGTTTAGCTGGTAATCACTGTCATAATTTATTGGAGCTTGCAGGTGAGCTGATCTTTGATACAAAATGTGAATATTGGTAAGTTGTATCAAAGTTAGGTGTATATGAAATACATCAATACATAATTATTCAACTTTTCATTGCAAGCAACTATTTACATTGTATATACAGCACTGAAAGAAGTAGAAGTGGTAGTTAAGCATCTTGCAAACTCACTTGCTGCAATTTTAATAAAATGGGTAAAGTAAAATGTGTGCAGCTTTTGCTTCAGAGTTTCCCAGTAAGCAGCATCAAAGGGAATTCTTTCCACCGAAAATCCCTTTTTCGTGTAGACAATGAAGTCACACCATCTTGCCCCACTCACACCCATTTGGCCTTGCACTTGAGTATAGTAAGCATCATTCTTTTTCAGTTTACATTGTCCATTGACAGCCGCACAAAAGAATTTTGGGTCTTGACAGGCTTCTAGTGGAGTGACTTGAAATTTTGTTTGTGGACACTTCACTTCAGCAAGTCCAAAATGATCATAGCATCCAAAATCTACAACCCTGCCATCTGGTGAGCACCCTAGGAAAGGCATATCCAGGGAAACAACAAAACCACTCTTGAGAACCTTAACAGGTGTCTTTCCTGCAAGCATGATTTTCTCATATTCCTGGAGAGCAACCGGTTCATATTTTATACCATGCTCCACATACCTTAAGGTAAATGCTTTCGGATTGATGAGATCCATTGCAAACTTATCATGATTCCTTTGTCTTTTTGAAATGAGGTCAAACTTTGAAGCAGTGAATCTAAGCTTTCGCTCTTTCTTCCACTGTTCTGACAATGTTTGACCTCTTGTGGCTCCTTCAATCTTGTTTATCATGTTTTCATCAACAACAAGGGAACTAACAAGTGTCTCTTCAGAATGACTGAGGTTGTCAGGCCTGACAAAATCACTGCCTGAGTTTAACGGGAACCTGGGATAGGTTAACTCTGCTTCATCCATGTCAGCTCTTGGAATAGAAGAAATGTCAAATGTAGCCACAAAGTTTGCTTCAGTAAGAGTCAAGTGGTAGCTGCAAAGTGAGCCAATTTGGCTTTCACCAAATTTGGTCATAACACAACTTTTGGGAGTGGAATCATCTTTTGCCAGAACTGCTAAACCCATTTGTGGATTTATATTTTGAAGGGCTTTTTTCAGGTTAATTTCTGCTTGGACGTCATGCACAGGGTTTGACCTTGCATCATACAGTAAGCACTTCAATCCTTCTCTCCTTTTGGTATCATCTAACCGTGTTTTTGAAATGGTAACTTCCATTACCGGTTGAGCAGATATTTTGTCCCCACGACCCTTCTTGTGCCATCTTTGAAGCTGGGATGTGCTGGCGAGATCCGGTTGTTCATCATCCTCCTGGCACAGATCTTCTGTGCTCTTGCTGTCAAATAAACTAAACTTGCACGCTTTAAACATTAAAGCAAGAATGTGGTTACAATATCCCACTTTGCCAGCTTTGCATGAACAGTTGGCATGTATGACTTGACCTGAGACAATGCACATGGCAAAACGAAGATCATGTGGAGCTTCACTTTTCCTGAAACTGTGATAGCAATTCGCTTTCAAATAAAAATACCTTTGATCACTGTTCGCCTCAATTTCCTTTAGGTATTCGTCCTTCAGAAATGTTTTTGCCTTCTTTAAATTAGTTGGAATTGAGTGGTGCTCGGCATTTGCAACTCGCTTTCCAGAATTTGCCACGTGCTGGTTCATTTCGGCTCTTGTGAAACACGGCATCCTTTCAAGCGACTTTCCCCATCCATCGCTCGGGTATTTCACACTTGAGGTGACAGGAGAGACATAATCGTTTGGTAGTAAACTCGAAAACCTTGCCTTCCTTTTCGTGTAAATTTTATCTCCATCAGGGTCAACCAGCATTTTATCCCTTCCATTTTCAACATAGTCTTGGACTCTGCAATATAATAAAGCAATAATTCTCAACTGCACGTTTTCGTAAACTCTAAACTCCATGTGATATCACTCACGAACTTAGCTCTCACCGTTTTACGAGCTGTGCTTTCGTCTTAAGACCCTTGAGTGAATCGCCACGACATCTCAACCAAAACTTTAGCTCGTCATTTTTCAGTGAAGAAGGATTTCTACCAGCTAAGGAAGCTCCAGGAATATCGTCTTCTGTGAGTATCACGCGCACAGTTCCATCAGAAGATCTGTGAGAAGCCATTGTGGTTTTGTTTTGATCTGTGAACCTTGGCCTACCAAGCCTCGCTTTCATGCATTCGAAACCAGGCCGTTTCCGCGCGGCGGCCATTTATGAATAAGGTCTATAGAGTTCCTAAATCCTACGTTCTGAGTGTATGCGATCGCATAGATGAATGTGGGTTGGATGTGGCTAATATAATGAGGGTGGGGTGGGGTGG